ATGGATTTTTTTATTTGGTGTTGATAATTTTGTAATTTTGTTAAAGTTAAAGGTTAAAATGGGTATAAGAAAGGAATGGGAAGGGTGAAATTGGAAAAAATTGAAAGAAGATTGCATGAGAAATTGAACTGGTGGTTTTTCTGGTTTCACCGGTTCTATCGGTTGTTACCGGTTTTACCGGTTTTGATCGGTTTTTATCGATTTTTATCGGTTTTTGATCGATTTTGACCGGTTTTGACCTAAAATGGTTTTCTTATGTGAACCGAACCGTTTTCATGACCGGGTACCGGTTTGACCGGTTCAACCGGCCGGTCCGGTCCGGTTTTAAAAACCTTGGAATAGAGGGTTAAACATTGAAATAGCGTCATTTTAGTAATTTTGTTCGTCTAAAAGTTAACAATACCGGTTACAAACTAATTTTTCGATATAAAAATATATTTTGTTATATGTTTTATGAATATTTTTTTGTCTCTAAACTATTGTTTCTTATATATTTTTAGCCTTAAACTTTTACATTATGCATATCAAATCTTTAAAAAAAAGTTAAAAAAATACTTATAAGATAGAATTAAAAGATAAAGCTACCAAAAATATAAAAATATAAGTTTTTCATAATTCAAAGACAAAAAAAAAAAGTACAATAAAATAATTTAAAAACAAAAATTATTCAAAATTAAAATTCGAAGAACTAAATCTAACATTTAACCTTACTTATTTGACCTTTCCACCAAAATTCCTTTTACTTATTTGACCCTCAACACACCAACACCTGCTAAAACCCACTCGCCTTTACTCAACAATATCCACGTGGCTCAATTGGACACTATACTTCAGTCACCAACATGTAACATGATTCCCTCTGTAAACATAATTACTCTTCAACTTAAAAGAAATCAAAATTAATTAATTTTTCTTAAAATCAAAATAACAAAAGCAGCAGCCAGCACTATTGCTGTCTTTATCGAACAGAGATGTAATTTTGGTTCTCCATTGAAGTCGAGCTAATAAAGGCACGATTTTTAGATTCTCTTTGTCTCTTTCTGGGCTCTCTGCAAATGGCGGTGCCGGCGGCGGTGGCAGACAATGGAGGTGTCAAGGTGCGCTTGGCGTCGCAGGCTTATTTGGAGAGCTATCCTGTGAAGGAAACCAAGGCTTTGATATCAGAGCTTTGCCGTCTATTCTACAACCACGGATGGGTCTCTGGTACTGGTGGTAGTATCACGATCAAGGTCCATGATGACTCCGTCCCCAAGCCTCAGCAACTCATCGTCATGTCCCCTTCTGGTAACTTTCTTCGATCTCCGCTCAGCTCCCTCTTTTATAGATGAACTGTTCTTCTGTGTTTGTGGTTGATGCCTGCTTGAATCTGTGGGTTTTCTTATGGTTTTTTATAGAAGGGTCTTTGATTTCGAGCTCAAAATTTGTTCTTTCTTTTGTAATCTTCAGGAACGTATGGCTCTGCTTTATGTTGACTACTGGGAATTTATTAATCAAGTTTCATTGTTTGAATTCTCTATTCCTTATAGCTCTATCATGTGCCACTTTCTTGCTACTTGGTTAGGTGTTCAAAAGGAGAGAATGGTCCCAGAGGACATGTATATATTATCTTCGGACGGCTCCATCATATCTTCACCTTCTCCAAAACCATACCCACATAAACCCCCCAAATGCTCTGATTGTGCTCCACTTTTCATGAAGGTAATTGCTAGCCTTGGTTCACATCATTTATGATTATTTCTTTGATGAGTTATATCCATTAATCTATATTATCTGTCTGAGTTAAGTTGTTTTATGTGAAATAGATTGGATGGTTTAGTAGGTTGACATGGATACATTTTTTTAATAAATGCCCTCATGATCCAGGCATATGAAATGCGCGGTGCTGGAGCTGTTATCCACAGTCATGGAATGGAGTCCTGTCTTGTAACAATGTTAAATCCTCTTGCAAAAGAGTTCCGTGTGAGTTTTTCTTTTGAACTTTCAAATGTTATTCTAATATGTTCTGAACTTACAAAGTGAAAATTTCGTTTCATGTTTTGGACTCTGCAGATCACTCATATGGAGATGATAAAAGGAATCAAGGGTCACGGTTACTATGATGAACTTGTGGTCCCAATAATAGAGAACACGGCTTATGAAAATGAACTTACAGATTCTCTTGCCAAAGCTGTATGCATTCTTGGTGCTTAGTTTTAGATAATGATTGCAATATTGACTTTTCATGTTTTAGATCATTATTCATTATGGTTAAATCTATTCATGTAGAAAATGGCTTTCAATCAGTTGAAACTTCTTTCATGTTATCCAGATAGAAGCATACCCTAAATCGACTGCTGTACTTGTTCGCAATCATGGCATATATGTTTGGGGAGACTCATGGATCAATGCCAAAACTCAGGTTTGTCTCACCGATGATCAATCTGATCAACTCTACAATTTTTTACTTGATAATAGAGCTCTTATGTATTTCATTTTTAATTTTGTGTTTTTCAAATTTTTTATCACAACCTTTCAGGCTGAATGCTACCACTATCTCTTTGATGCTGCAATCAAACTTCATCAACTAGGCTTTGACTGGTCTACTCCAGAACATGGTCCTATTCAGAAAGTCAATGGAATTTTAGGCAATGGGAAGATAAATGTGAATGTGAAGGCTGGGACTACAAGCTCATATTATGAAGTTGAGCAATTGCCAGTAAGAAATTTACTTCTTTGGAATTTGGATCCTTTAAATGGGTGAATGGGAAGATAGATTCATTCTGTTTTGACAATCATTCTCATTCTTTAAGATTATTTTGCTGCAGCGTTGCATTTTGCTTGACATTGAAGGGACTACTACTCCAATTTCATTTGTTACCAATGTCCTCTTTCCATATGCCCGTGGCAATGTTGGCAAGCATTTGTCTGCAACATATGAAACAGCTGAAACACGAGAGGATATTGGGTTGTTACGCTCTCAGGTAAGGTTTTTCCTGTGAAGTTTGATAGTTTTGGTATTTATGGACTATAGGAACTTGAGGCATTATTTTGAATATTTGATTGTGGCAAGTATAATATTTAATGCCACTTTTGTTGCCTTTGCAAAAATATTTTTTATGTTTCACATAAAAGAATTAATTTAATGATTTAGAGAAAAAGTGGAATTGCAATATATGAGAAAAGCTTACTTTCTTCGTAACATGGCTTATTGACTTTGATGAAGTCTTAATGGAAATCCTTGAATTTTTTGGACTAGACTTAGTAATTGCAAACATATAATATACAACCATAACCAAATCTTTGGTGGTGACGTCTTGCTATCAATAGCATGCATGCCTCTTTCATTTTAGTCATGTGTAGAAATTTGCCAACTATTGTTCATAACTGCTTAAGAGTATCACTTATTAAAACTGCCTCCTCTTTCATTGTGGACTTGCTTTGTTCAGGTTGAAGATGACTTGAAACATGGTGTTGCTGGTGCTCTGTCCATTCCCTCAGATGACATGAGGAAAGAGGAGGTGATCGCAGCTTTGGTTGCCAATGTGGAAGCCATGATAAAGGCTGATCGAAAGATAACTGCCTTAAAACAATTGCAAGTAAGCAATTCTCAGATTAACTTCTATTTATTATTATTATTATTATTATTATTATTTTTTGGTTGCAGCTTGCATTTGAGATATAGCTAATATGAATCTCATAGGGTCACATATGGCAAACTGGATTTGAGAAAAATGAACTGGAGGGAGTAGTTTTTGATGATGTACCTGAGGCTCTTGAGAAGTGGCATGCCTTGGGCAAAAAGGTTATTCTGCCTTTTCCCCGTTATTTTTTATTTTTTTGTGAACAAAGTTCTGATGTCTATATGCCTATCTTTTGAGTTTGTTAAGACAATTGCTCCAGAATGATGTAGATTTGCAAGTGGTTTTTGTACTGGCATAGCTTTGTGTTAGAATGCTGACACTGATATGGCACAAGCATTCTGTCAAACCATGATTTCTTCATTCAGCAGTTTAAAATCATTTTATTGGAAGGAGTAAACTGCCCTAATTTATCATACATACAAGATTATACTGGTGGGTGCACATATAGGGGGCAATCATTCCCGAGTCAAGTTTACCAAGTGAACTGACCAAATTCGACTGGATTCAAAAAAATTTGTTGCTTAAAACTCACTAAAGTTCAGTCATATTCCGTACTTCATGTTCAAACTTGACTCAGAAGGATACTCAGCATACTTATAGACAGTTAATTGTGACTTCAATTACACATCATATATATATATATATATATATATATTTTAAGTTACTTGGAAAGCACTAGGTTTCTCTGCTTATCCTCAAACTTAACTTCTTGACTATATATAGAAAGTTGCAGTTTCAGTGTTAATGACTTTCTGCAACTTGGAACAGGTGTACATATATTCTAGTGGTAGCAGGTTGGCCCAGAGGCTTCTATTTGGGAATTCAAGCCATGGTGATTTGAGAAAGTATTTATCTGGATTTTTTGACACTACAGTGGGGTAAGTTTGAATTGTGACTTCCATTGATGCTTCTGTATTTGAATATCTTTCAGTTGCCCTCAGTTTCAACTCAAGCTAACACTTGGCTCCTCTTTGCTTGCAGAAACAAAAGAGAAACACGCAGTTATATCGAAATCGTGGAGTCTCTGGGAGTTGATAGTCCCTCTGATGTATTATTTGTGACAGATGTCTATCAAGAAGCCATTGCTGCCAGGGCTGCAGGTAATTAGCTCTCATATTTTAAACTTTTTGCATTAGTGCTGGCTGGCAAAACCAACTGGTACATTTTTTTCTCAATTGTCTATCTTCTAAACTCTTAAAAATCCATCTTACATTGCTATTACAAACTTACGGTATAAGAGTGAATGTCTGTCATACTTTTACTGGTTGTCTAAGCATCCTTTGGATTTTTGGTACTCCTATCACCATGATCAACCAATTGATTTAAGCTCTGAAAAGATCAAAATAGTAATTGATGAGAAATTTTGAACTTTGCCAGATCCAGAGAGCTGTTTAACTTGATGGAATGTCATGTTTTCCCATTTCAAAATAGTCGTTTTAAAGAACCGTAGCTTCAAATGATTTCTTCCTCCGTTTCACTTTTATCTTAATGAATAAATCTCTTTTGACATATTGTATATAAAGAAATCAAAATCACTCTCACCATTTCCCGATCCTACCAATTATCATAACCAAGGCAGTAATCATTCTCCTCACTTCCTGCCATAATTCTATCTATATTTTGCTGTTATTATCTTTCATTTAGTAAACGCATTAAACCTTATATCTTTCATTGTTACTTGAGTATCACTTTGCTCATTTTCATATATTTGTTTTGAATCAATGTTTTAGGTTTGAAGGTGGTAATCTCTATCAGGCCAGGAAATGGTCCTCTTCCAGAGAATCATGGATTCAAGACAATCAATTCATTCTCGGAGATCTAGAGAAAAACTTCTTGCCTGTGTAATAACTAATAATATCAAACGTGACATGCTTTATGTGAAAAATAAGTAACTTTCAGAGACAATAGATCCCAGTTTCGTCACTACCTCCTTCTCATTCTACATTACTGCTACTTCTTTTCTTCTTTTCATTCCCACACAGGTTCTTGTTTAATTCAACCGATAATAACTGTTTAGATCCTTTGTTGTTTCATCAAACTTCTTAATTCAGAATCCCTTTTATATTCTTCGGAGAAAACTGCTCTGAAGCATGCTGTCTGATATTTTATATATAGAAGCTACCCTTTTCATGGAATGAAAGAGCTTTCCAACTGTGAGTGAAGAAAATAACTCGGCAGTTTGTTTGTTGTTCGCTGAACTGCCTGTTGGGATTTTCACACTAAACACATTTAATCTTAGATAGGGAAATGAAGAAAGGAAGTCTGCACATTTTTTGTCCCTCCCTTGGTTATGTATATCATCATGACCATTTTCCCTTCATTTTCAATCATCATCATAACTCCGCCTACTTTTCCCACTTTAACCTTTCTTCTGTTCCCATTTTATCAGAACCATGTCAACCTTTTCTTTTGAAAAAGAGGCAATGGAGAACAAGAAAATGTCAATATCACTAATCACAAGTCTTCACGTTATAAATATTTGTATACCGAATCAATAACAAGTTGAATTGCTCAATAAGCATGGGAGATATTTTTTAAAATCTTATTGACTTGCAATTACTACGTTCAAATACATGTGATATGGAAAACTAAGAAAAATAGACAGAAGACATTGATGTACTTTCTCTTCCATTTTAGATGCAAAAGTAGAGGGGATGTTAAGTTAAAAAAAAAGAAAAGAGAAACTCTAATCCTCACAGTTTCTAACCAACCTTGCCAGTCTTGGACATCACAAAAAAATTCCCAAGTATTCCAGTCCACAACTGCTTAGGAATACTTCTTGTGTCTAACCAGATGGAGTTAGTTAAGAAAAAGCAACTGGAAATTCCTCAGGAAAAAGCAATTAAAAAAGAGTGTTAGTTAGAGATATAAATGACCATATGGTTCATTTGAAGGCATTAACTTTACTTGCCTTTTACTTTTATTATCTTTCAAAACCAGCCTAAGTAAAATTGCTGTGAAAAGATTAGGAGATCCAATGGAGTCACATCCTGTTGATTTTCTCTTCTTGTCCATGGTGTTAGTATCCTAATGTGGACCTTTTTAAGATGCAAAAAGATTTGCTTGTCATAATCTAATAGCACTCTAGCAGAAAATCATGTGATTTATGAACTCTTCACTCCTTACTCTAGCGAATACAAATATCTCTCCAGAGATAGCTCTACTATTCTCCAAAAAAGTAGAAAAGACGGGGAAATATCAAACATTTGATCTCATGTTCATCAAACAGAGGTGTTACATGGCAATAGGATAACACAGGCCTTGTATAGGGACTTGAGGGAACATTTAAGTTTTTAGTCTTGTCCAACTAATGAGTCAATGCCCTTTTCAATCCACCAAAATTTGCAGGGAAATAAGACTTAATAAATGTAGTAAAATCAAACTCATTGTCTAAGGAACAAACATTCTCTTCTAACAAAAGCTGTAACTATTGCTACCCCAACGAATGCAAGTGGGTAAAATTTTGTCATATTCATGGTTTTTAGGGGTAAAATGAAGGAATCCATGAAGAACAAGATCAGTAACTTCGCCCCATTCTCCATGGATGGGTAGTCAAAGAATGCGTTCGGACTTACAAGATCAGTAACTCTCTGATGGAATCCATGAAAAACCAATTATGTAAGAGTTTTAGAAGAAGAAGAAAGGGGAATTTAACATAAAGAAATCAATATCTCAGGATTATGGTTTTGAAATTTTAGTGCCAATTTCCAAACCAAAACCTAAAAATAATAGGAGAAAGATGAACGGAGAAACAAAGAAGTAAAATTTACCATATAAAAGAGAGATCAAATTGTACAATTGAAGCAGAGCTCCTCAAAATCATCCAAAAACCATTAAACCCTTTTCTCAATCACTCTCAAATTACATGGCTTTTCTTCAAGAAGAGGACCCTGAAACTTTTGGTGAGGTCACCGGAAAAAGTGGCAAAAGCTGAGGCTCAGAATCTCTAGGAGTCGACATCGGCGATGGGTGCAAGTAAAATCCTTTTTCTGCAATTGCTTTCTCTTCCTCAGATGAGTTTCCTAGCGAAGGAGAAGACTTGTTGAAGGGATCTTCATCATTTAAGGGGGTAACAGGGCTGAGGACAAGCTTAGGAAAGTCGAGGATGCTCGGTGACAAGATCTCCGGTGGCTTCCGAGGGGAGAAACTGGGGCTACCCGCAACACCGGCGGGGAAGAAAGTGTTGATCATGAGGCTGTTTTTGATGTTGTTGTTTCTTCTCTCGTAAAGCTTGAAGCTCTGTTTCCTGGGAATGTTGTTCTTGATGGGGGGAATGGCAAAGGACTTGGAAGGTAACGGATCTTGATGCTGCTGTTGTTGCTGTTGCTGCTGCTGCTGTAGCGACGGGTGCTGTTGACTCGGTGGCTTGGATGCCTGCTTTGCAGTTTCCGTCGAGCCGGTCAGCATCTGGACCACCTGCTTGAAGGTAGTGGTGTCTGCTTGAACAAAGGTTGTAGGGTAAGGGTTAGTGTCAGATCTGGAGATGGGTATAGGAGAAATTGGTGGGGTATGAATTTGGAGGGCATTGCCATTGCTGCTGCTCCCGTTGCTGTTGGGGGAGTTTAAGGGAGATGGGTTCTTCCTCTCCTGTGCTCCCCTTGAGTTTTCCATTAACGGAGTTCTAACTTAACAACCACCACCAACCTTAAGATTAGGGAAGAAGAGAAGGGAGAAGGGAAGAGTGAAAAACAAGGTTTGATTTTGAAGAGGAGGAATTAGTTTTGGTTTTGGTTTTGGTTTTGGTTTGTTTTAATTGGAGAAGAAACAAGGGTTTGGCATTTGTGGTTTCATTTTTTTTTAAAGGAAAAAAACTTGGGTTTGAATTGGAGAATTGATGGCTTTGTAGGGTAGAAAAGGTGAGAAAATGGGGTATTTGGGGGATTACAAAAGAAGAAAGGGTATTGGTTGAATATAGAATTTTGTTGGGGCATCAAGCCATTAACATAGGAAGTGGAAATTGGCATTGACTTCAGAGCCCTGACTCTGCATAAGACTCTTGTGTTTGTGTGTGCGATGGGATTGCAGATGGGCGATGATGTTGATGCCTATATTTCGATCCAACAAACATCACACCACACACCAAGTCACCTCAACTCGTACTATGAGGTGCGTGCTTTTCACTCTCCAATCGGATTTTTTCATTTGTAAACTAACAATAATTGTTGCTTGATCCAATTTTTATATCAAATTATTTTGTGTAATCTCAGATAATACAAAATTAATTTAATTAATTATTAAATAAGAGTGAGTTATCTTTAATTTTATATAGTTTTAATAAATAGAAAAGTTGTTCTATAATAATATTAATTTATGTTCATTTTACTTGATATATTTATGTATAATACATTAACAAAGAAAATTATTAAATTTTATAAAAACACCATTATTATTTATTGAAATTTCATGTTTCTCTTTATTTATAAGAGAAATTAAGAAGTAGGGATGTCTTTTTATAAAAATGAAATAATTATTAGTAGGGGTAAAATTAAAAAAATGCTTTAAAACTATTGGATCACTATTTTTTTAGAAAGTTTGATGCATAAAATGAATCTAAGATGGTCAACTTAATTTTTTTTTTTTTTAGGGTTTGAGAGAATAAAATGATAATTAGATTTTGAAAATTTTAAGTTGAAGTTTTGAGAAAGATGAAAATGACTAAAAAAAGACTACTACTTCTATATCAAAACTATAATAAGAAAAACTAGCAGTTGCAAATAATTATATTCCTTTGAAAGTTAGATATCATGTTTGAAGTTAGGACATTAATTATGCCAAGGATGGGTAAAAGCAGATAGTTTGAAAAGGGTTAATTACTTTCTGTCATTTATGTCAAGTAACTACTTAAGACATGAGAAGTCTTTAAGTAATGAAAGAATAAGAGACCAGATTGTAGGAGGTTTGGGCAATGCCATTGAATAGGGAAGACAGCAATCGTTTCATATATTCCTCATGTTAGGAATATCTCAAATCTAGGGTTTGAATTCAAGCAAGGGTACCTTTCAAAAAAGAATTCAAGCAAGGGTAAAGTGAGTGGGTAAATTATGTAATCATATATTCTTATAATTAACAAGTGATTGAGTGGGAGAAAAAGAGAAGAAGAAGATGCCACTAAGTAACACTATGGGACAAAAAGGGTGAAAATTAACGAATTTAGTGCCATCAGTTTATGACTTAAATCACTTGCTTTTTGGGGTAAAGAGGAACAATTTGTTATGTCAAATTCTCAGTGGACAAAAGATAATTAATTAGGGTTTGTTTTCTTAATCCCTCAAATGTAAGTTGGCACTTTTTTATATATGTGAATCTGTTCCGGTTCCAAAACCAAGTGCATAACCATGGAAAGAAATATTCAGATTCTCATTTTCCCATCATAGAATCCAATTTTCAAAATGGTTTTCTTTTTTGTTGCCATCCACCTTAATTGATGCCTTGTTTGGTTCATGAAAAATATTAAAGACAAAATATAAAAACAAAAAATGAAAAATAATTTTGCCATCTACCTTATTTGATGCCTTGTTTGGTTCATAAAAAATATTAAAGGAAAAAAAATCTAAAACAAAAAATGAAAAATAAATCAGGAATTGTAATGTTTTCTTGTCATATAAGTAATTTTTTTTATATAATTTGTCATATTTTTTAATAGTTCCATTTAAAAGCATAAATATTATTTCTTATAATATATACAAAAGATTAGCAAAAAAAAAATGCTAATTTAAACATAAAAGGGTATCTTAATTGATTTTTGTTGTTAGTGCAAACTCAAAAGACTAATTTTTTAATAGTATAATATGTCACTATACTTCTAAAATTAAAGATATGTGTTAGAGTTTTTAATAATTATTATTTTTAACTTTTCTTTTCCTTCTCCATTCCATTGCTTCACATTTTCCATGAA